GGAGGCCAGAGAAATGGGCAGCCAAAAAGAAGAAGGATTTTTCTTGCAGTGATAGGCTGGTAAGAGATTGCAGAGTAATATGACTGATACTATTAAAGTGTTTTTGTTTCATATAACATTAATATGTGTCCTTTTTATTTGGCCATGAAATATAATGTCACACAGATAAGTTGCTCTGATTCAGGTCAGTTTTTTTTTTTGAACACATTTTTGCACTGACAAAGAAAAGATGATTTTAATTCCAGTTTTCCCTGAATATTGGGCTGAGATTTTACACTCCTGAGGAGTTCTTCATGTTCCAGAAGGCAGCTCCTTTTTCTTTACCAGAGTTTGACCCAGTTAGTATCAAAAGTGAAAAATGGGTGGAATTTTTTAAGTCTCCAGATTATACAATAGCAAATCATTCTTATGCTTTTAACATCTATATTTCAGAGAGCCATAGACACACGTGCCCCCCTTTTAGATCCTCCCAGTGCCTCTGTAACCTCTAAATCACAGGAGGTTGTTGTCTTGGTAGGATTTCCAGCCTGTAAGTTGTATATTATTTTAATATTATGAAGTCTCCTTAGCATTTATGTTAAACAAAGCAATCTGAATGAGTAAATATGGTTCTCTCCTTGCTCTCTCACATTTGTAAATTTTCAAAAAAGGATTGCTTTGTAAAGGGGGATAAATATGTACATTTATATACTATAAGGGAAAAGTTAATTTTCTTAACAGATTCTAAGCAGATTATATGGTTGTGTTTTTTTTTTCAGGTGGAAAATCATTCTTTTCAAAAACTTATATGATTCCTAAAGGATATGTGCATGTCAATAGGGTAAGAATGTACAGAATATTTAATAAGTATATACTGTTAGGGTTCTCAGGGACCTATATACTAACTGGATAATCAAATCTCGCGATATCTTGTAAGTCCTGGGATTTTGTAAGAATACTTTAATCAATTATATCTGTAATGCTATCAAATTTTTCAGATCAAAATCTTTAATTATATATCAAAAATTTATTCAAGATTTGTTTTTTAGCAGGATTATTCTCCTTAGTAGTAATTTCATTTTATTCAAAATCAGCACATTCCTCTGATCGGCGGTATTTCCAAGAATTCACCGATTGCTTTGTTTATTTTCTTTATATTTAAATTATATTAAAATTTATGCTTCAAAAATTATTAAAAATCCATTTCAATACATGAAAGGAAAAAATGACATTAATCAGAAAACAGGCTATTTACTGGGAATAAATGTAGTTTGAAAAATTGTAGTGTTGTGCGTGATTTTTTGGGTAAATAAACATGGCGATGAAGGAGTTGCCTATCCCTTTAGTATATAGGTCCTGATACTGTAGGCTGATCAAGGTTAGGAAAGACCTGAAAAGTCTGTAAAGGAAATAAAGATGTATACTTAATGTACCAGAAAAAATTTAAAATTTAATAAACTTCTAAAATATTTAAATATAAATATGATTTTTTTTTTACATCATAATACTGATAATGTTTTTGAGGCAAAGGTGATGTAAAAAGCTGGTAGTGCATATGTATGAAAATAAACTTGAGCTATGCACATTTATGTAAAAGATAAAAGTCAGGCACAGTACAGTGCTCATGTGTATGAAAGATGGTTTTACAAAAAAAATTCTTCAATAGGACACTCTAGGAACTTGGAAGAAATGTGTAGATATGTGTGCCAAGTCACTGAGAGAGGGACAGAGTGTTGTCATTGATAATACTAACCCAGACAAAGAAACCAGGCAGAGGTAACTACACACAGTACTCCATAAAGTACAATATAAGTACACTAAGTCACTGAGAGAGGGACAGAGTGTTGTCATTGATAATACTAACCCAGACAAAGAAACCAGGCAGAGGTAACTACTCACAGTACTCCATAAAGTACAATATAAGTACACCTAGTCACTGAGGGAGGGACAGAGTGTTGTCATTGATAATACTAACCCAGACAAAGAATCCAGGCAGAGGTAACTACTCACAATACTTAGTACAATATTAGTACACTAAGTCACTGAGAGAGGGACAGAGTGTTGTCATTGATAATACTAACCCAGACAAAGAATCCAGGCAGAGGTAACTACTCACAATACTTAGTACAATATTAGTACACTAAGTCACTGAGAGAGGGACAGAGTGTTGTCATTGATAATACTAACCCAGACAAAGAATCCAGGCAGAGGTAACTACACACAATACTTAGTACAATATTAGTACACTAAGTCACTGAGAGAGGGACAGAGTGTTGTCATTGATAATACTAACCCTGACAAAGAAACCAGGCAGAGGTAACTACTCACAATACTTAGTACAATATTAGTACACTAAGTCACTGAGAGAGGGACAGAGTGTTGTCATTGATAATACTAACCCTGACAAAGAATCCAGGCAGAGGTAACTACTCACAATACTTAGTACAATATTAGTACACTAAGTCACTGAGAGAGGGACAGAGTGTGGTCATTGATAATACTAACCCAGACAAAGAAACCAGGCAGAGGTAACTACACACAGTACTCCATAAAGTACAATATAAGTACACTGAGTCACTGAGAGAGGGACAGAGTGTGGTCATTGATAATACTAACCCAGACAAAGAAACCAGGCAGAGGTAACTACACACAGTACTCCATAAAGTACAATATAAGTACACTAAGTCACTGAGAGAGGGACAGAGTGTGGTCATTGATAATACTAACCCTGACAAAGAAACCAAGCAGAGGTAACTACACACAGTACTCCATAAAGTACAATATAAGTACACTAAGTCACTGAGAGAGGGACAGGGTGTGGTCATTGATAATACTAACCCTGACAAAGAAACCAGGCAGAGGTAACTACACACAGTACTCCATAAAGTACAATATAAGTACATACACTAAGTCACTGAGAGAGGGACAGAGTGTGGTCATTGATAATACTAACCCTGACAAAGAAACTAGACAGAGGTAACTACACACAGTACTCCATAAAGTACAATATAAGTACACTAAGTCACTGAGGGAGGGACAGAGTGTTTTCATTGATAATGCTAACCCAGACAAAGAAACCAAACAATGGTAAGTACTTACAATACTCCACATATTAGTACAGAGTCACAGAGAGAGGGACCGTGTTACATCATCTATCTGTATTCTCTTGCAGTAAAACATATTCAGGAAAGGGTAATTTTCCCTTGTTATAAATATAATTTATTATATCCAGAAACTTTGCGGTTTATTAAAATATTTTAAAGCCATGGGGAATGAAAATCGCTTCACTGTAAGATTTAATTCTTGATTTTGCTACTAAAAGATTTTTTTTTCACTCTTAAGGTATATAAACTGTGCCAAGACAGCAAAGGTACCCTGTAGATGTTTTTTCTTCACTGCCACAATAACACAGGCCAGACACAATGAAAGGGTAGGTATATCAGGGGAGGAGAGGGGGGGGGGGTATTACATATGTAAAGGCTTAACATAAAGTACAGCATAACATAACAAGGAGCTGTGATGGAGCCAGCTTTGAGGCATTGATAAACATTCAGCAGAAATAGATAAAACAATTTGAATTAAGATACATATACTCGTATTCAAATAATTTATATGATGAAAACCACTTTTCTTTGCATATTTTATGACATTTGTACATGTACTGATGAAAATATTTTATTTATTCATAGTACAGGGAGATGATTGACAAGTCTCACCAACCAATCAATGACATGATAATGAACACATTCAAGTGAGTAGCAAAACAGAGTGAGGAAGAATTATTTTGTTCCTTTTCTTTTACACTAAATGTAATTTTTAACCTCTAGATAAAGGAATCGGTATTTCTTTAAGTTTTAATATATCATTTATTCTACAGATCTAAACTAAAGACTCCAGAGTTATCTGAGGGCTTCAAAGAAATTGTGCGAGTTAATTTTGTGCCGAAATTCAAGGATTCTGAAAATGAGAGACTGTACAAACAATATTTGTTGGAAAAGTGAAATGCACAACACAAACAATTTATCTTTATATATTATTGCATGCATCAACATGATTTTAAATAAAGAATTGTTTATAAGTTTTACTGACTTAGCTCTTTTTGATGCTTTTAGTGAAGAAATGTTACTTGTACATATTACATGTATATAAGACAGTAAGGATATCATAACCTAAACTGGAACTCGTACTATTAGATTTTATAGAGTTATCAGCACACAATCTGACACTTTTAGCTCACCTCAACAAAGTTGGAGGGTGCTTATGAAGTACCCTTGATGTCAGCATCCCATATGAAAGTTTTTGGAGCAGATTTCTTTTCAAGCACTTTTATGCCCTACATTAATTACAGATTCATGGAGAATCTTTACAGTATGTGTGTTTCATTGTACCAGTCAAGGTTTCAGTTGCTTTAATTTCAGCTGAAGAATAACCATGATGCATCAAACATGCACATTACCAGCTGTATTTGGCCTACATTTCAGGATGAATGACCAGGTTTTCAGAGCAAGTTCTCTCGAAAGCTACAATCTGCCCTACCTCGACCAAACTTGTATGGATCATGTATCTCAGGGTGCACACTAGATGCTGACTTTGACCTACATTTCAGATGTATGACCATGCAGGTTAAAATTATAAGACTTATGCTAATCATTGAACTTTGCACTGAAGAAACATTTATTGATGCACACTACGACAGTTGCTCTGGATACTGGATTTGATCTACATTTTCCAGAAAAATGACCTTATTAAAAAGTTTTAGAGCAGGTCTATTCCTAAGTAACCAAGACCTACCTAAATCAAATTTGCATGTATGATGCATCTAGGGATGCAAACCACTAGATTATTAGTTTAGCATTGGATTTTGACTTGCTTGAAAGACAAGATTTGTTAAGGTGAGATCTGTAATCTCGGATCATCTATTTCTTGTATTGAAACACAGATTTAAACCTGACAAGATTAACCTCCTTTACTTGGCATAAATCATTTAATCATAAAACGCATGAAATTCCTTTGGGTTTTGAAGAATTTATTTTAAAAATTTAATGTAATTTTTTTTGTTAACAACAGAGAACACATTGTGGTACCATCATACATGTGAAAAGTATAAAATAGGCTAATCTTTTTCCTTATTTGCACTCAAAGGCATTCTGCACAACAAATAAATAGAATTGCAAGTAGTTTGTTGATACAAATATGTCATATGACCTCAATCTCATTCCAACTGCTGAACTGAGGTTTTGATGCCCCTTCACGTCTCTGTTAACATGGTCAGAATATACATAGCTTTCGTAACCAGTCATGTTCTTCGTCTCCAGGATTGTCCAGTCAAGTTAATACTGTATCAGTCATTTTCACAGTACTACATTTGTATTAGCTTCACATTTCCCCACACTGCGTTATGACTACAGCTATCTTTGGCTTGTTGTTTGGCCCTGTCGGCACATTCTCAATTTTTCTTAAAACCAGAAGTCCATCGATTACTTTTCCTGAAATGAACAACAGATCTGTAATTAATTACAGGTTTTATCTAACAGGTAAAGTACATTTTTAATTTTTTTCCCTTTGTTTACAAAGATGTTATGATGTACATAATCTGCAGCAAGGGAGAAGAATTGGAGCATTTCAAGTAGACAACTACTATTGTGAACTATTTTTAATTTTCAAAAATTTACATTCAGATAAGTTATTTTTTAGAATATTATGAGAAAAACCATACCAAATACAACATGCTTGTTGTCCAGGAAATCACACGCTGCACACGTGATGAAGAATTGACAGCCATTTGTGTCTCTGCCGCTGTTTGCCTGAGGTAAATACGAAATTAGTCTGTTTCAAATACACAAAAAAAATCATTTGGCTTGATAAGTATAGCGCAAATAGTGTTGCAAAAGGGAACAAAGTTTCTATCAATTATTAAATTGAATTGGTAGCACACTATAGTAATTGATAAGTTAACTACATGTATTACATTAAATAAATTAGGTTAACCATGTAATGTTAAGATATTCACAAAAATTAAAACAAATATTCAATACAAATCACACAAGTTCAAAACATGCATTAGCTTGAGAATTAGAGTTATGTCCTTGGGTAATATTTAATTCTCATAAAATGACTGTACCATAGAAAGCATTCCAGGTCCAGTGTGTTTAAGTTTAAAATTTTCGTCGGCAAAGGGTCCTCCTCCATAAATGCTGCAGACACCAGTGCCATCTCCCTGTAATCAGAAAGTAACAACTGAAGAGTTGAATGAAATATGTGTATCATACAGCCTTGGTGTGTAAAGGTTGAAGTTTAGCTGGGATATACATTATTTACAAGGTGGTCCTCAACTTAAGAGTTCTGTTTGAAAAAAAATGGTGCATACACAAATATAAAGTATATATTGTATATATCAATATAAAATATAAAGCAATTTTGAAGGGATCAATATTAAACTAAGAATCTCTACAATGATAGTAAAAAAAAGTAAAAGAATGATATATCTATTACATATAGTTCAGGACAACCACAATACAAAGTCTGTTGAGCGAAGGGTTCTCCAAATATTGGGCAGACAAAATCTTTATTTAATAACCTTACCACATTAGCATTACATTATGTCATTCAATAATAGATTCAATTTAAGGTCATACGCAACGTAGTTTGAATTTTAATGGGTTCTTCCCTGGAGTTAAAGAGTTCCACTGAATGAAGGACCTGTGTGCAATACTTTTAATGTCTATATAGGGCTAGACAAATAGCACTGCCCGATGCCCGGGACAACCAGTTTTGGTTGGTGGGCAAGTAATTTGATAACAGGTGCCTGCCCGCGGACAGGTGATTTTCCAATTAACCAAAAAAAAATCATGACTGATATACTCAAATATCTTTTGCGTTATCGCTTTAAAAGTATCATGAATCCCAGTAAAGCACTTGTTTTCACTGCTGTTGACCACTACATCGCTGCATATGCGTACATTGAATAGTCGGATCTCCTCTAGATTTTACCAATTAACATATTGTTAAAATATGCAGATGTCGTAAAACATAGAGTTACCAATGTCCAAAAAAATATCGTATGGGAATTTAGACATTTATTGTAAAAATATTAAATTTCAGATGCTAGTGGTATTAAATTTGTTGTTGATTGCTGTTCCCTGGCAATCACACAGCCATGATGTTGATCCCTTAATTGAAATGCAGTAATGTTCTGTTCACAGACTCGCGCTCGTGTTGTTTGTAGGTTTGTTCGTGATTTTATAGATCTATGGTGGTCTTAGTGTATTGTTAGGTGTCTCACTCAAGAAATAATTTAATATCAATACTTCAATTCTATGTAATTTAAGAAAAAGGTGGGACAAGCATAATTTTTGGTAGGACAGGTAGTTTTACAATAGTAACCTGTCCAAGGGCAAGTACTGCAAAATTGTATTTGTCTACCCCTGGTCTATATATGGATTTGTACACCTCTTCTAAAACATATTTTGATGAAAAAAAATCTGAAATTGATGTTTTGTAATTTTTGTACATTTTTCGTTGAATAATGCAAAAATTTTCATAATTTGATATCTTTTCAAAACCCCTGGTAACACATGCTGATTTTTTGTCTAAGAACATGTCATGGTCTTATAAGTTTAAATTTAGAATATGATATCTTGAAAAATTATGAGTAGGTAAGGTACCTTGCGTATGTCCTTAATCATAAAAGTCCTAATTTGCCAATATAGTCACCCCTCTGCTTTTCTGGCACAACCAAAAAAAAAAATGCAAGAGAAAAAAACATTACCTTTAAAAAGTCACCGCCTTGTACCATGAAATCTTTAATCACCCTGAAAAATTATTTAAAATTTATTAGGAATTCTCATACCATTTTTAAATGTATGTAACAGGAATGTCGAAAAAATTATGGGACAGACAAAATTTCCAATGGGGTCCCTAAAGTCTAAAGGTGGTCTTCCAAGTCCCAACTGAATTATTTTTACTTCCTGTCCACTGGCAAAAAAAACCCGCCTGGTTATCACATGTTTAATAGACAGAATTTTTGATTCTTAGTTAGATTTGGAATATTTTTCAGTGAGAATAAAAGTTGAAATTTAAAACTTTATTAAAATTATATTAACATTGAACAATTTTGAGAAATATCTCTTGTTGAAGCAGAATGTTAGGATAAGGAGGCCTTTAAATAGAGCAGAAGCTGGATTATTCTGATTGAAATGCCAAAGAAAACTCATCATGATTTGTTTAAGTTCACATTACCTATGAAATGTACAGGCTTTGAATCCCATTGGCACGCCATCCTTCCTATATTCCCCTGTGCAAAATTGTCTGTATAGATAAAAAGAATTATTTTAATGGCCACTGAGTATATAAAAGAGCATTTCTGATGACATTTTATATTAAAGCTCTTACCTAACAACTGAAGTTTTGCTATCTACGAAAAAACTCTGTGATTCTTTCAATATCAATGACTTCTTATAATGTACATATACATGTTTTTGGTTCTTCATTAAAACTTACCTGAAGTTCTCCGCCGTTTTTGGAACAACATCAGCAAACAACTCAAATTTTATCCGTCCAATATCCTAAAATATCAAAACATACACACAAAAAGAAAATCGCATTTGATTTTGCATTTAGTATAGATTCGGCCATTTAATTGACACTTTCAATCCATTATCCTATTTTCATGATAGGAGGAAATTCGAGTTACTTCAATATTTATTGTGCTATGAAAAGTAGAAAGGAAATCAATCATCTTTCTTTGTGATAAAGAGGTATTTATTGTAAATACTTGCTACATACAGTGTTGCCAATCGAAACATCAAAGAAGACAACAGGATTATTTGGGTTTGTTACTTTTTCCATGCCTATCCAACGTTTTGGGAATTTGTACAGTTACCTCGTACTAGAAATCATTCATAGTTATTATTATTTTTTTTATTTTTATCCTCTCATATTTTAAAAATTATTTCATATTCCTAATAAGCATATGAAAAACTAGTAAATTTTCTAAATTTTAATTTTTGTTTTTAATACATGCACTTTTCTTAAAAATACTAAAGTACGAACTAATCTTATTTTATTTTCCCTTTTCGCACATGCGCAGTCGACTTTCATATTTGTTGACAGGAGTATCGAAGTCGAAGAAATTAGTATTGTAAGTATTTAGTTTTTAATGTTTAGTACTTTAAATTGATTAACATTTTGTGTATGTTAAGAGTGATTTATGTGTTATTTCCTTCAAAAATTATATAAATGAACAGAAGGAACGTCAAATTGCCCTGATCCCTGCAAGCTACATTACAGATAGTGAGATACAAATAATAGTTTCGCTTTATCTGATGGGGCAGTGCAATGCATATACATACTAAAGTTCGTTGAGTTTTGGTCCATAATTATCTGAATGTAAACTTGCAGTTTTCCAAAGGGCAAAAGCAACCCTTCATTGCAAGGTCGGCAAAACAGGGTATCGTACAGTATCAGGTCTGTAATTAATCTCAGCGAGATGTCGTAGGGACTAAATATTTTGGTCTTACGTCCACTACGACATCTCAGACCTACTATAGTTCATTCCTATAGGAAATAGTAGTAGAACGAATTATTCAAAGAAGACTATTGTGGAACTCGCAGCAACGGAGGCTTACATGAATGGGATATATTTATAGGAAAAATCAACAACCTTATATATTGTTGGATTTAAACCTTTTAAAGGTAAGAAAGAAAAGTTTTATCATGATAGAGACTTATTAGTAATATCAGTTTAGTGTGAAGTTAAATTCAAGTTATGCATTACGTCACAATCTTTTTCGACAGATGTATCCAGCGTAAACAATTCAGCCGCCACTGTGATTGGTCAACTCATATTATCAACATGGAAATAGTCTGTTGCATGAGCAACCAATCAGGGATTAGAAGAAACTTCCAGTCGTAAAGCTTGCGCAGGGTTTTAAACTGACTTTAATCCTTGATCGCCATGTGGGCTACTAAACCTTGCAATTCTGGGGCCCACATCAAAATTTATTCGCCCACATGTGGGCTACTAAACCTTGCAATTCTGGGGCCCACATCAAAATTTATTCGCCCACAAAATATCACACCTCCTATTGAATAAAAATGCAACAACCCCATTTTTCGTTGTTTTTTTTTTTTAATCATGTTTCGTGTTTCTTTTCTATCCGTAAAAACATTATGCACGACTTATCTAAATTTGAAGTAGAACACTTTTGTTTAAAAAGATTGATATGGTTATTAAACATCATACATTCAAGCACATGGCAGGTTTTTTCACAGATACAACCAAGATATATTTTGTTTTGTTTGGCTCATTGACGCGTCGATGCCACAGTGTGTCAGTCACAATCACTCAGACGCTTTATGTATAAGTACTTCTAACTGGTAAATATAAAGCACTTTGCTGATTACGAAATTTTTCAGGAGAAAAAAATCGGAACATTCGGACAAAATTGAAAAACAAATATTTATCAACGTAAATTTTCTAATCGCCACGTGGGCTACTTGAACGTAATTTTAAGGCGCCCCCAAGGAATATTGGTCTCAAATTGCGAGTGGGCGACTGTTAATTTCAAACCCTGTTGCGGTTAGGAGGCGTGTACTTTACCTTGAGCGCAGCTGTCAGCATAGGTTGTGATGTAATGCAAAACTTCACATGTAACTGAAATTACTAATAAAGGGATGTCCAAAGGAAAAAGTTGAAGCGAGCAGCTAATTCATTTCAGCCCGTTTTGATTGAAACAAGCGGTCAAAGTTCTAAGCAAAAAATCCCTATTGAAATCATGATGCATGGAACTGGACTGAGATGTCGTAGTGGACGTCAGACCAAAATTTTTAGTCCCCTGGTATGACATCTCACTGAGATTAGTCTGTAATATTAGATGGTAACACAGAATACACTTTCTTCAGTTCACATTGGATAATTTATGCTAAAAAGCTTTGTATCAAATAATCTCACTTGCCTTTATATTTCATAGTTTATATATGAAAAAAAATCTCTCATCAATCTGATTATAATTAGAACAATTTTATATCACGGGTAAAAACTTCTAAAAATTACAACTCACAAATAA